GAGTCGCTTCGCAAGCTTAATCTTAACAATATATTTTATAACTTCTTTTTGCTATTGCTGTTGGCATATAACTAATTAAATATCATACGAAGGAGACAAAAGGCAATCAAGAGCCAGCGCGGTAATTTGTGCATATATATTTTATTATAATCACAAATTATATTAGTCTTTTTTTTGGACCATCTTCAGCGCAATTACAAAGTATATGAAATATATTATATCAAAAATGTAATAATAATAATATATAGAACAAGAATGAGTCACTCATGGTGTCAGAAGATAAATGTTGTATAATGGAATTTCAAGATAGAAAAAAACTGTCCGATAAAATATACTACATTAAAAAATCAACTGGCAATACAGATATGCCGAACTTGAATAAGTCACCCATGTTGTACAGAAGGCAAATGTTACACACGAATGTTCGAGACAGAATGTCTGTAACACTATTTACGATTATACTTATAATATTATCTTCTTTTTCTGTTTATCTTTATTGTTCTTATAATTAAAAAAGAGAGCTGCACCTTTTCTCTTAATTAGAGAGATATTTCCATTCACCTTATACATATTTTGCACATGTGTTTTGTACATGTCGATTTGTTCGATTTGTCGATTTCAAGATAGAAAAAAACTGTCCGATAAAATATACTACATTAAAAAATCAACTGGCAATACAAATATGCCGAACTTGAGTAAGTCACCCATGTTGTACAGAAGGCAAATGTTACACACAAATGTTCGAGACAGAATGTCTGTAACACTATTTACGATTATACTTATAATATTATCTTCTTTTTCTGTTTATCTTTATTGTTCTTATAATTAAAAAAGAGAGCTGCACCTTTTCTCTTAATTAGAGAGATATTTCCATTCACCTTATACATATTTTGCACATGTGTTTTGTACATGTCGATTTGTTCGATTTGTCGTTGTATCGTGCTCGTATTCTTCATGTATATCAAAACGCGTGAAAAGCTTTATCGCTCGACAGCAGATCGATGCGCCCTAAAAATGATTAACGAGTGCTTGTCATAGATCGAGATTAATAGTATTTCAAAAATGAATAAATCTTTTGATTCACGAAATGGAGATCTTATCGCATCTCGAATTTGTATCACAAAGAGGATTTTTCCAGTGAATTATACGCATTATTTGTGATATTAAAAAATGTTTCAAAATAAAAAAATTAAATTTTAGTAAAGCGCGAGTAAATAAAATTTAAAAAAGAATCTCTCATATATGTGTAAATTTCGAAGAAACAAATATTTTTCTTAAATGAGTTTATTTTGAATCATACTAAGAATATCACACACAATAACAGCGCTTAATAAAATATTTTAGATAAAAATATATAATAGACACAGATCAAAATATTTAAAAAAAACTGAAAAATTTAAAGAAATTATCTTAATTTAGTGATTTAATTGACAAGAATGGATTCTTTTGTTATTCAAAAATATCAATGATTATTCACCATCAATAAATAATCAAGTTTCTTATTGCTACATTTTCATAATTTGCCTACATCACGCAAGCTATTAACACAAAAAGTTATTGATTTCAGGTGCTACTCTTACATTCGAGGTTGAGCTCATGAACATTAGCGACTCACCACCAACCGCTAACGTTTTCAAGGAAATCGATGCCGACAAAGACAACCAGCTGTCCCGCGAGGAGGTGAGAGTAATGGCAAGATCACTTTAAATTTTTTTTATTTGGGCCATTTGTGGTGCTGGTCGTAGAACTATACGTATCCCTCATTTCATAAGCTGTTTGTTTTTCATTAGTCCGGCTAAAGTAATATATAGAATTTTAATATAATTTATTTGTATTTTAATTACTTCTGTGTGAAGGGAGATAGAATTTAATATTATTGAACAACTTACATTTCCACGTTTGCATCATATTATATATAATATGATATATAAAAAAAAACTACAAAAGCTTTGTAGTTATACGATGCCTGCTGCGACACGTTATAATGATTAAAAGCCACAAATAGTTTTTATATAGAAATTGAAAAGTAAATTGTCTCTCGTATATAAAAATTAAAAAATAAATTTGAATTTCTTTTCCGGATAAAACAAGACGATATTTCATGTTGTAAAAATAATTCATAGCATATTAATTATAGTATATAAATCATAGTTTGCTTTAATTTAATTTACCGCTTAATTTAGAAAACCTAACAATTATTCATATTATTAATTTATACTAATCGATATATTTTTTATATATAGTCGCACTGTTTTCAATGTAGCCATTTTAGTTAATTCGTATGTGGTGAATTTTTTCTTTTACAGGTAAGCGATTATCTGCGAAAACAGGTGATAGAGGCGGAGCAAGCCGGTGCCGGCGAAAACGAGGATGTAAAGAAAATGTTGGCTGATCATGATAAACTCGTTGAGGAGATCTTCCAGCACGAAGACAAGGACAAGAATGGCTTCATCTCCCACGACGAGTTTAGTGGGCCGAAGCACGATGAGCTCTGAAGTCTTTGTCCCGCATCATCGCGTCTCCGAGCGCCCGTTGTCGACGTCCTCGTCGCTCCTGTCGTCGACGACGTCGTCGCGCCCCGCGCCACCACGTGTTCACCTCTGTATAAAATCACCTCTTTGAGTCCCCTCTCGGGGATTCCTGAAGGATCCACTGATCGATCGCCTCAAGCACACGCGTGCTCGAGCTCGCAAAACCAACCGAACCTACCAACAAACTTTTCCAGCTCAGCATCACTGACACTCGCAACGCAAAAGGGATGCGACCTTCGGGAATCTCCGGCTTGTAGAGTCCTACTCGTGTCCTTGATTGCAGGAAACCTTCGGACGTAAGCGGATGAGATCAACAACAAAGCTCGAAAATCCGTAAATAGATTTTAAAGCTTTGAAAGAGATTTGAAGAAATCTTCCGAAGCTTCTCGAGAGCTACTCGATGGCACTAAATCCATAATTTGAAGATTTCTTGATTTTTGAATCCTCCGGATGTATGATCCTGAATGGAGGATACGGTTGAACTCATTTGAAATAGGTACCGCGATGACATCCCGCGAGTCCACCTTATACGCACAGCATTACTCGAGAACCTACAGAGGGAATCTCGACCGACTTCTGGCATATAATCGCCACTTGAATCTCTCTAATTCTGGCACAACTTACTAGGAACATCTGCAAGTCTTTCATTGTCGCTTAATGATATTTTGCATGTTTCATGGTATTTATTATAAAAGATAAAATTTTATTTTCAATATGCTGATAGTAATAAGATTTCACAAGTTGCGAGTGGTATTATTTTAGTAATCTAATTTATTTTTAGCAAAGTTACAATTTTTTACAACATTGACCGCATTCATAAATTATTTAAAATAATAAAGCTTGTGAGATATATCAATTCTTATCAAATAAAATTGCTATCGATGAAAAATAAAATACACGCCATTCGCTAAATCGTAAAAAATATAACATATTATAATATGTATCAAATCAAATATAATCGATAAAATAATTTTTTTAACAATTAATTTAATCTTTTTTTCTTTGTTTTTGTTATGTTCAATCATTCTAAAAGCTTACTTCATAAACATCCATGGCAAAATTTTCGCGGATATTCCTAGATAGGCGACATTCCGGCGCAAAACGACGCTACTGTACATTTTAATACGATATTACAACAAAATAAACGAAAAATACACGAATGTCTGCTCGAGTGTTTGCACTGTCGTGGCGTGAAGTGAAAGGCTGTGTGTGTTCCGCGCTATATGTATTATATATAAATATAAAGAGAGAGAAAGAGAGATTGTGATGACAGAGCGAGAAAAGGTATGATGAAGAAAGTGTTTTTTCTACATGATTATAAATGTTAGCATAATTCAAAGGCATCGACATATGGTGCTAAAAATCACACATGCATTCTATCCTACTCTCTCAATGCTTCCACTAATTTCCCTATCCCCCCCATTCCTGCCCCACAATCACCATAATCCCAGCCAAAACAATTCCTTGCTCGAGAATTGCTCGCATATTCACGTTAGGAGACGAAAAGAGGATGACGAAGAAGAGGAGGAGGAAACATCCCGAGGATGCGCAGTGGAGATAAATGTGGTCGCTCTTTCACGAGCCTCCCCCTATCGTCGCGCTATCATTATTACATTTTAACTGATACGTTTTTATTACTACATTATATTGTATGTTGTTAAAGTTGGATGAAGGTTAATAATAAATCATGTGTCTCGAGCACAGTTTGTTATATAACCACCTCTTTCAATTTCTGCATCCCCCGTCTGAATGTTTAATTATGACTTTTCGCGTAAAAATCAAATAATTTATATTAGACACATTTTTTCTCACAATAATATTCTACACAATTAAAACATTTTTATACATATATGAGATTATTATAAAAATATATTTTATAATAAATTTTGTTGTGCATCTCTCTTAAGTAATTAGATTCCGTATTATAACTTTGATTATTTCAGATTGTGTTTCCGATATCTGTGTTATTTAATTTTTAATCATTGATCACACGTAATTGATAAGAGATTTCTATCTCTCTTTCAGATTTTTCTACTCGTTTTTTCAAATTTTATTTTAGATATTGAACTTTTCAATAGATAATTGGTAATTAGTTTTATTGGTTATCTAAAGAATATAAAAATACAAAAATATACAAAATATAGAAATTATTGCATTAAAATTCATATCTTTAATTATTTTTTATTTAATTATTTATTCACGAATAGAAATTAGAAGACCAAAAATTCAAGCTCTAAAGTCTGAAAAATTTTATATAATGTTTTGGTTTATAACAATTGTATTTAATAATTATCCATAGATTTGTTGTTTTATATTTATTATTAATAATTAATTAATTCAAACATTTAATATCGGTATATTTACCTTCTATGTTACAGGAGTTCAACAAATTCGGAGATTCTTAAAACGAATAAATTGTATCTGAAAAGAAAAGGAAAAAAAGCGCATCAAAATCGTACAAATTCTCACCCATTTAATGATTTCACGTTTTATTTCAAGAAATATTTCCACAGAAAGATTACAATGATTGCGATTATGCGTCTCTACGAAACGCAATAATAAAATGATGATTAAGATATCTAAGTTGCTAGGCGTGTCATGTTGCTAGAATTTTACGTTGTCCAGCATATATTGGTATGTTCGCTATTTGACAGGAATTATTCTAGAATATAGTTATTTCGCAAAATAGCAGAGTTTCTTCGTTCGATTGACGTGAACAAAAGTGTCGATTATTCGAATAGTCGGTCTCAAAAATCGATCATAAAAATCGATCACAAAAATCGATCACAAAAGTCGATCATAAAAATTCGTCGAGGCACCGTGGTCTTATATATGATTGTCGAGTCGATTCTGTCGTCCGCAATTCGAGTAAATCTTCAATTACAATGATATCTAATCGTCGCGTGAATAAGACGCACTTCAACTTCGTGAGTATCGCTATCGAATTGGAAATGATAGATGAATCTGACAGTTGAGGTGCTGAGTTGTTGTTCGCGATTTAATTCAAGGAACGCCCTTGGTACTTCATAGCTACTTATATATCTTAAAAGAAAAACTAGACAATTCACGCTACTTCGCTGGTAATATTAATACCAGATTTTTTTCAGATCTATTTTTTCGTGTAGTAAAAATTTTGATACGTAAAGAATTTTTTTATGTAAATTCCGTTATAAATCTCCGCATCAAGAAAGGTAAATTTATCAGAAGAATATGTGCTAATATAACTGTTGTAACTAGTATAAATGTATACATATCATGCTAGTATAAATCTATATATATCATGCTTAAATTCGACGAATTACCTGAATCGATAAGTTCAGAAGATGTTATCATAAAATACAGTTCCTTCTCGTATCGATATATGTTTGAACTTACCTTTTTAAGTAATTTTTAAATTCCTTCTATGGCAGTTATCCACATTTAACGGGAATAATAATTTGTTGCATAACCAGATGCAACACTTTGTCAGCTTAAATCATTTACAACGCTTATACACCATCATTTACAAGCATTCTTTTATTAAAAATGCTTTTTGTTAGATATATCCTGGCAACAATACTACGCTTTCTTATACGCACAACAATAAAATTATTTTTTCTTCATTCTGAATTATTCCTATCACAATGAGTGATATTCCCACTCAAGTTTCTTTCAATCTACTTCTATGCAAGGTAATAAGGCCGGAATCGAGTTCAAGTCTGCCGATTATCAGGCAACCGGTCAATCACTGAACAACCCAGCACCTCACTCTCTTATTTACTCATTTCTATCACCTGCGATTGAATATAATATAATATATAAAATATTTATATATGTAAACAACGAGGGCGTGTAATTTTCAACGAGAAAATAAGACAACGTAGAAAAAAATCTACGAAACCGCGTCGTTAAAATTTTCAGAAATTTTTACATAGAATAAAGAAAATTTCGTAAAACAAAGAAATTTCTCTACAAGACAGAGAGACACACATAACTAAAAAATCTATAGAAAGTAAAGAAATTTTTATAGAGTCTCCAATACGTGAGAGATATCTTTCTTCGTACGCGAACGACGCGTTAAAAGAAACCCATTCACTTGATCAATCTTAAGTCTAAATCACCGATTGGATTAATATTTGCCTAATTCACGACAAGACGCATTTTTTTAAATTTTTCCTTTACTTATTATTCCATTTTGGTAAGTCGAACGACAAGTGTATACGCACGAAGTGCACGCGGGGCTTAATGAGACTTAACGCGAGTGTCAAACTCAACGACATGTCACGGAGTCATGTCGTTCGACTTCGGAGTATCCTGATAATAACGGCGGACGGGATCCTATAGCCAAGATTTCGACGGGGGTCGCGATGTTTTCACCGAGCTTCCGCCCCTTCGCGATATCGACGTTCCTTTGTCACGTTTCGTGAGAGCATGTCGTGGCCTTCGGGTATTATCACAGTCAGTAGCCCTTGATGTAGGCGGCGATGTGCTTTTTCTCCTCTTCTGAGAGACCGTTCTTTAGCGTCCTACGCACTGAAAGAGAAGGCAACATAGTGGCTGGCGCCAAAAACATTTTTCATTTTGTTGTTATATAAGCAAATGTGGTGTAAGTCGGTGTAAGTTTTCTTGTTCTTTTGATTTACACATTTCTCTTATGTGTCTCACATATATAATAATATAAGCTGCCTTTTATTATACCTTTCGTGTATGTGAGAAGTCTCTCGTTAATTTACTCGTTAAAACAAAGAAATATTTTGGCATTTCAATTTTCCAAAGATTTAAATACTCGACAAATTACTTCACTTGACACCACCTCTGCTTAGAATCTTTCAAAAATAATCATCTATCTCGAAAACTTTCCCCAATTAAAAATTCCCGAGATGAGATAGTAACACATAAAGTCACAATTAAATTTAACAAGCTATTAATGCATTTGCATTGCATTTTGGACTTGACGTCTTTCATACTATTTGCATTCACAGTGTTTATAAATTAGCTTCAATACAAAATGACGGGAGAATGTAAAAAATGAAAAACTTTTTAAGAGCGCATTATTCTCTCGCAGAGTGCATGAAATATTTAATAAATAAAAATCAGCAGATATAAGTGCATTATGATCTGTATTGTTGCAACACAGTCCAAGGAACATGACGGCAATAAATTAGCGCATTATCCGATGATTATGGTTTTATTATGATTTGTAAATATAGAATCGATAATACCATCGACCGTAACGAACGTGTTCCAAAAGTACTTACTCGGAAATAATGATACTATCACCGCGGACCCTCGATATCGATAATACCAATGTCTTTGATCTGGTATAGTGTAACAAAGGACTCTTTCGACACGATCACGAACTAATTGATATCAGAATTGGACGTATATTTTCTTCCTGCAACAATTACCTGCTATCCCTTTGATCCTTCTCGTTATTCTTACAATAGACGCATTTTCCAAAGAGAAAATCGGTGTACAGATTATAATTCTCTTTTCCTCATTGTAAAGCTGATAATAAAATTTTAACTCAAAATATTTATATCTGTTTGTCGTAAATCAGAAATAAAATTATAACGTAATTAAAATTAATACTTTCACATATAAAATTTTCATAATATTTATAAATTAACCAGCGTATTTGTAAAAGGTTATGTAGATTATAAATAAAATGAAATAAACGTCACCCTTAAAATCCACATAAATATTTTTTTATAATTAGTGTCGCAAACAATAATTAAAATTGTAAATTATTAAAATGTTAGCAGCGATATTTTGGCCTTTCGACTGTATAATGATTAAACCGTTATTCTGCCGTCATAAATTTTAATTTTTCCATAAAAGCGACCATATATAATGGATAATAATTTTCTCTCCCCTTCCTTTTTATTGTCCGTCGTTAGAATCGATAAAGCTTCGTGCCGTGTGGCGTTCTAATTTAATGTTGCTCAGTTAAATTGCTCGTGCTCCGACGACTTTACAAACACAAAATCCGAGAGCTGATTATTTGGTGTGTTACGTGGCGTACAGGGTTGTCACGGATATACATAAACGCACGCAATCTGTACGCGTCGTGCCGTGAACGTGTCGTTAATGAAATGTAAACCGATTTCACTCAGCGTCCGCTCCAACCAAATATCTTTCCTAGCTTTTGCATGAATTTGATAATAACGGACAAATTCTCACTGTATGAGCAAATGCGATTATTATTCTGCACGGTGTTACTAATTAATACCGTAGCATTATTACAGATTGTCCGCTGTATTGGTAATTAGTCATTGAAAATGATGTACGTATTATGTAAATAACGATTTATAATTGTAAACGTATCTCATAATTCCATTCTTTTTATAAAGTACTTTATAAATATGCAATAATATTTACAACAATAAAATTAATCCTCGTGCTGTTTGACCTTTTAGTCACCATAATAGTAACGGTAACAATTTTTAAATTAGTATATATTAATATCTTAAAAAATATTATATTTATTTATCTATTATAAGCTTTGCTAAATATCAGATAATATGCAGATTCTCTCGATTGAATATTAAATATTAAATTTTAATAAATACAGAAATATTTAAAATTTTGTGGAATATATTATATTCTAAAAATGTGGAATAAAAACAATATATAACTTTTGATAAAATTATTTTTTTGGATATGAAAGTTATAATTACAGTTTTCATTTTCTGATTTTATGTTCCTTCTGGCAACACGGACAATCTCTATAATGTATAAAATATCAAGCCATAGATTGATAGTTTATGTTCGATATAATGTTAGCGTGGTAATGAAAATCATAGTTTATGCTCAGACGATCGCACATCGATAAATCATTCGGCGCCAATCCAGGCATGGCACATCAATAATTTCGCTAGCTAGCGAATTACTGTATTGCATGGATCGATGCGAACACTCTGCGAGAGCAGGCACCTTGTGCAGGTCAGACATTGATGTTTTTCAAGTAACGCCAAGAAAATCCAACGTCTTAAGGTTGTTAAAAAAATATATTCATTTATTAACCGCTTTCAATAAACTCATCTTGAGCACTCTGCAGCACATTCAAGAAGCATCATTTTTTATTCAAAGATTTTATCTATCTAGAATCCTTTTAGAATCCGATATTTTTTTGGAATATATATAATTATATTATAATAATCTTCTAATTACAAATAATCTATAGCCACATTTTTCTTAATAAATTCTTAATTTTCTTAATATTTTTTAGAAAAAGGAATTAAATGTAATCTTTACACTTTACATATCGAGATATGAGTTTCTCTATGAAAGTTATGAAGTATAAGATGAATTGAGATTACACACGACTAATTTCCATAGGAATATTTCGATAAGAGGTAATCAAAATACAGTCTGCTAAGAAATATATTTATAAATATGCATTGCGTCCACATATATGTATATGCGAATGTGGCAAGAACATTCGTATCGAGCTTTAAATGCAAATAGATGAAAAGCGTTGTGGGTTTATACCAGGCGTCGCAAGTTTGCATGCAAGAGAGACATTCGCATTGCGTAATTCTCTATTAAGTCAAGAAACTTAGACACCACCGGCTCCGTTTAGGAAGAGAACTTTTTACTTATCCTTCCCTTCTCCTGCCGACGAGCGCAATTTAGCCTCACTTATGCATATTATAGGAAACTCAAATTGCATAAAGTTCACAAGGCGTATGATCTTAACGTATTCGGTTATCCAAAAGCAAAGTCTCAAAGTTTCCAAATAGCTTCTAGCTTTTCGTAAGAAGTCGTAGAGCATAAATATGCATTCTATTATAATCCGATTTCCAAATAATCAAAGTATATTTTTATGAAACTTGAGATGTATCTTATATCACAATGTATATGGATTCTTTTTAATAGTATCATAATTTCATTAAACCACTGAATTTTTTTTATTTCTATCTAATCATTATTTAAATAACATGATTACGCAATTTTAGTTACTTATAAACTGCACAATTTTCAATTAGAAAATTTTCTTTGAATAAAGTAAAATACATATACTTTCAAATTAAATCTCTAATTCGGAAGAAATTAATTTAAAAAGAATAAATGCGAGTTCATTAAACATATCACCAATCTTGACTATTGCGTGTTAATAATCGATAATAATTTTATTAATTTATGTATATAAACCACGAAATCAATATATTAGTAAAACTACCTTAAATGTTAGAAGGAAATGTGGATCAAAAGTCATGCGAATAATGCATGCCATGCTGGATGAAAGAAGGCCGTAAAGGGAAAACCTTAAAAAGCACTAAACCTTAATCGCAGAGATCACGAAACCTGGCCCATCAGGGTTGATACCCCTCCGGCGTAGTGTTGTTCTCCCGGGTGCGGGATCGCTTCACTGTCGGACAGAAAGAAGAGAGACGCAAGAACGCTAGGCCACCCCGTTAGCAAGCCGCTATCGCTAATCTTAACTGAAGTAAAGTTATCAGAGCGTGCCTAATTTTGGGTCGGACTAGTGATTGGATCCACTGGATTAGTGATCGGAGATGAAAGTGAATTGAGACCATCACCGCAGATTCTGTGACAGTTCGATCAGAAAAGGATAATCGGGCAAAGGATGAATAAGAAATGGAGGGGAAAAGCAGGATAGACTCTCCACCCCCGAGAAATATCTTTGGATAGTCATTTACAGGCCGAACATGCTGTCGTAGCGACGAATGTTATCTTTTACAGTTAGTTCTTCATTCGTGTCGACGTGCTTATATGAATTTTATTCCAATCCCATAAATTGTTTCACAATCATTTTTACTATCAAAGCTCCGATTCCTTTTCGAGATTTTAACAACGACAGAAATCTTTATTTCTTCAAACATATTTGTTATATATTTATATATAACTTTTCCTTGAACGAATTATATATATTAAATATCTAACAATATATTTGTACGTTATATATTTTTATTTATTTTATTTTATTGATTATATTGTGCAAATATCGGGAAATTCGAAATCTCAATACAAAACCAAATAGAAAACCGTTCCCGATTACCGAAATATGAATCGCTTTTGTTGAAATTAAATATTAAATACGCCATTTTTCCTCTCAACAATAGCGAAACGAATATACGTGCTCGATTCGTTCGGGCGCGTATTGAACTCGGGCTTATCATAAGTATGGCGAGAGGGAAAGATCGATCAACGCACTCGGCGATCGGATTACGCTGAGATTTACGCGCCATCGGCTCAGCGGCAAGGATTACTTCGACTTCCTGCATATCGAGAGATCGATCAACGTCCTGACAAAACAGAAACGTAGAAACACCATAATCTACCGGCATTGTGCGACGTTACGTTATCTCGACCAGACTGCTGGATTTTCCGTTGTCAGATTTGCGTTCGTGTCTGCACGTATAGTATACTTTGCCTTCTCAGTAACCATGAATACAAGTACCAGCCAAATTTATTTCTGATTGACAAACAAAGTCTGCTCAGGTGCGCGTTGTCTACGCATTTTGTACGACATTTCGTAAGATTTATGTGTCAAACTTCAAAAGCAC